GAGGTTTAAAATATGTGGTGTTGATTAGGTCAAGTTAGTAGAAATTCTATGTCAAGAATAGTTGCATGTGAATTAAGCTAATTGGTTAAACATGACAACAAAGAATTGTGTATTATGTTTATATATAGGCTTCGACCATAAATAAATAATGGGCATAGATTATTTGGTTTCAATTAAAGTGAAGGTTTAATAGCATTTGCCTAGAATAATCAAGTATGATTCAAGTGGTTTATGATATGTGGACCTATGTTAAAGTGTATGAAATATCCACTATAAAGGGTAAGTTAATTAACTAGTTGAGGGTTTAATTTATGAAGTATAAATTAAGTTGTATATTTGTGGTATGGCATGAACTGTCAAGGGAAATAAAGTTGTCAAGTTGGTTATGAAATTAACATATGAAATATAATTATTTGGATTTCAAGTAATGTATGTTGCATTGGAAATTAATGGTAGTTTAATATATACGGTAACAAAGTGTAATCAAACGAAGTAGATGGACGAACAACTTGGAGACAACCAAGTGTACGGTGTATTAAATAGCAAGTTAGCAGCAGGAAAGAGGTGCCAGGTAAGCTTTCGGTTTAGGAGTTTTCTCAGCCTTTTTGTTCCGCCATGATCAGTGGCGATTATGGTTTCCGTATGGATATAATTGTTGTTAATATTGATACTTTGCGTAGTTGCATTCATATAGTGCATGCATATGATATTATTTTTGTTATGATAAGTTAATATGATATGATCTTCAATGAAATAAAGCCTTGGAAGTGTGAGTTATGGTTTCTGAACAGAGGAAGCATTTATGAATATGATCACGGTGTACATAAGGTATAACCGAGGAATCTTTAGTTCTCTGATCATTATGAGTATGCTATTGATTATGATACGATATTACGAATATAAGTTGAAAGCCTTATTTATACATAAGACATGAACATACTTAAGATTAAAAAGAAGGTACGTTATAAGAATAAATGAGAATTATCAGAAAAGATATATGATACGAAAATTCTAATATGGACTATATGGTGTTATCTATGTCTTGGTACTTGATATTTTCTTGCAGGAAGTGGACTCTTGGGTGGAGAATGCTCCATAAACCCCAAGTTTATCGAGATTCATTCTCACCCCGCGTTATGGGGACATATTTCAGGTATCGCAGCAGTTGGCGATCGTTATCGGGGCAAGAGGCCCGTGGTTGATGAGTAGATCTGAGCATAGAAGTTGCCTGCTTATTTTGGGAGTCTGTTGTATTTATATGTTACATACGTGTCAATGAGAAAATAAAATTAAAAAAAATGGAATCGCCACCATGTTTATTTGAAAAATAGTGAAAAAAATCCCTTTTGTTTAGGATAGTTAGTCTTTGAAAATAGAAAGATGATTCGGGAGTCGATTACAAGTATGGAAGATGTTAATATCCTACACTATTCGTTTTAAAAAATGGTTACCTTAAATTAATTGTGCAAATTTTTGATAAAAATTTAAATATTTGTTTTACTTGAGAGAATTAAGATTGATTATTGGAAAAGAAAAGCAATTTTTAAAAAATTATTTTTGGGCTTGACAAGAAGGATCCCGCTCTGATGTATATCACGATACAATAGAAAACTGAAATCTATGTCATTCTATAAAAAATATTTGTATGTTGATTGATTTTAATGTTGCAAATTATTATAAGAAAATTCATTTGCAAGTTTCAAATCATCAACTTGTCCCAGTTAAAATAACCCGAATGATAAGTATAAGATTAACAATTTGTGTTAACTCAAAAGAAAAGAAAAACAATAATCAAGTTTTAAAGGAAAAGTTTGGGTCACCAAGTTGTCATGGTTAAAACGACCCTAAAAATACTTATAAATAAATGATAATTATTTACTTGTTGATTATTTTCTAATTCAATTACTTTAACGCAAGTTTTTAAATAATAAAATAATAATATCAATTTAATATGATTTATGTAAAGTGAGAGAATAGAAAAAAAATCAATGAAATTTAAAATGGATAGTTATGGTTCTGTAATGTGGCAGAATCTCGAGTCCTGGTAAGTATGACAGTGGGACCAATCCCACTATGTTCATTAGTGGACCGATCCTATTGTCCAACCAAATGAGACTCTTCATATTCTATCAAGTGGAGGCCCAGTCCCGCTGGTGGGATGAACTAGATTAAAAAGTGACATATTTTGGATAAAATAAAATAAAATTCATATTTGTCATTCCATTTTTATTTTTTATTTTTGGAAAACCAAAACACATTGTACTTCACAAAAAATTTACTATAAAATAGTTACGTTAATACATTAATTTGTAAAACAAGATAAGAAAATAAAAAATCTTAAGTTTTTTCAAGCTAGTTATATATGACATAATTTTGATTTGTCATAAATAGATCATATCAAAGTCATTATAGATCCAATCCACAAGTCTTTACTATTATGGATTTCGATTTGTTCAGAATCATTATAAATTAAAAATAATTTAGTGAATTGAATTAAATTGATTTGATTCATAAATTATTTTATATTTAGGAAATATTATAAATTATAAAATTTGAATTAACTTAAAAAAACAAATTTCATGTTTAAATTGAATCAAAGATAATTTGGATTGATTTGTATTAATAATTTACTAGACTATTCTTATTTACAACGGGTTTAATGATTTAACTAATAAGAATAAAAGTATCAATTTAAAAAATAAAATATAATCAAACTCAACTCAAAATTCTCTTTGTATCAATTTAAACAATCAAAACAAAAAGTCAAATCAAATCAAATCCACAGAATTTCAACTATAAACTTATTTTTGAATAGAATCCAAATTTAAAAAAATTAAAATTAAAATTAAAATATTTGCTATATTTTTATAAATCAAAAAATAAATCATTTATAAATTAAATCGATTCTGTAAATATTTGATCCATTGATACCCTTCGAACAAAAACTTTATAAATAGGTGTTAGTTTTCAATTATCAGTACAAAAACCAAAACATGACAGAAAGCAGCAAGATTCAAAATTTGCACGGCAAATGTTTCAGCTTTCAAGGCAGCAAAGCGTGTATGAAAGTTTTCAGCTTTCAACTGCTGTGCAAAACTTGAATATTGTTGCATTCCTAAATCACCAGATAGTTTAAGATCCATGCATTTAGACCCAAAAGTCTCGGCCATATCTTATTCAGAAGGCCTTCTTTATTTGCTGAAATTCAACTTCAATCTCCTGATATTATTCTTCCTGCAAAGGTATCTATTTTTTTTTTAATATCTAATTCCTTTTTAAAATCAAATTTCAACTGCAATTTCATATCTTCATGGTTTTTCATAATTTGTTTGGTAAGTAACAAAACAAATTATGAAAAACCATGAAGAAATGAAATTGCAGTCGAATTCTAAATTTGTAAAGGAATTAGATATTAACAAAAAAAAGAATTAATTAGATAAACTTTGCAGGAAGAATGATATTAAATCTCAGGAGATTGAAGTTGAATTTAAGCAAACAAAGAAAAACGTGAATCATGCTGCTCTCCTAATAGTGTGGGATAGACAGGCAAAAAGTTTTAAAAACTGACATATTTTAGTTTGTGTCGATATTTTGAAGCTAAGGCATGATTTATAAGGTTTTTATAAAAGGGAAAATCATTTGGAAAAGTGATCATTGTGCCACTGTTCCAAGATTTTTTTACCTAAATGTCACGCTAACAGTAAAATATACCACCAAACTGCCACGAGGGCAAGCTCGTCTAGGGCTGTAGCGAACTCTGTATGATGACGTGTCATGTTTCTGATGGACACGTAGTTCGCTACAGCCGCAACGACCTCTGTTGCAATTAATGTCTCACCTGTCAAGCCACGTGGCTTGCATGCAACAGAGGTCGCTGGCCACATCCACGAACTCTGTGCAACGGCTAGTAAGCCATGTGGCTGACATACACCAAGTTCGCTGGGGGCAGCGAACTTGGTGTAACGGCTACATTTCACAGCCCTATATAAACCCACCCCCTCCCCTCCCCCCATTTCTCCTCCCCCAGCCCCCTTCTCTCTCTCTCTCTTTTATTTTTCTTCTCTCACTCTCCTCCTTTCTTAATTTTCTTTCTCTCTCATTTTCATTCTTTGTCTTCATTTGAGGTTAGTTATTCATGATTTCATTAATTTTTTTTTTTAGTTTTTATTGTTATTTAATTGTTGTTAATTATATTATATGTAAGATGAAACATTAGGTTAGATGACATATTATTTGTTTTATTATTTTAATTAGTTTAATATTAGTAGTTTAGTAATTACATGCTAATGGTAGTAGTTAAATATTTTATAGTTTAATTAATCTATTTAATAAATTGTTTTATATGCATTATTTATTTATAAGATTTAGGTTAAGATAATTTTTAGGGATAATGTTGATGACACATTAGGGTTTAGGGTAAAGTTGTTAGAAAATAATTAAAATCATGATTATGGTAAAGTTGAAATGTAGGTTAGAAAATATTTGAATTAAATAAAATTATTTAGTTATAGGATTGAAAAATAAATGTGAGAAATTTTTTATTTGTATTTATTTATTTATTAGTAATTAGTATTTATTTTTAGCATTTATATAATTTGTGTATAATATAATATATATCTTTGTATGAAATTATTTAATTTGGTACTATAATATAATTTAAATGTAATATATTATATTAAATAACAATATTGATCTATTTATTTCTTAGTAATTAGTTTTTAATTTTTATATATTATTTAAGTTTTGTATAACATTATATATTATTGTATTTTATAATTTAATATATTATAAATTTTTTGGCTTACACAATTAATGTCGTTAAATTATTGTATTTTATAATTTTTATTATTCAATTGTTGTTACTAATAATCAAATAACATTAATTTGTTATTATTTAGTATGTAATATTTAATAATTTATGGAGTATAGAATAATTAAATAATGTTGAATATTTATTCATTTCTTAGTAATTTTTGTATTTATTATTTGTAAATAGATCCATGGAGCAGCAAGACCCGCACCAGACTTTCATTGACCCTGGTCCATCAGTGCGTTCTCTCCTCATGTTGCAGGATAAACACATCTCGACGCATGTATGGAACACATCTGATGATGCAAATGCAGATGATCGTGTCCTCAATGTCAGACACACTGCGTCACACGATCATTTGGATATACCCGAGGATATCCATCCTTACCTTAGGCAGGCTTGGTTTTATCACGTTGCGCGTCTGCACAACCATGAGGTTAGTGATACTTAGACTTGATAACAAATAAAATTACATGTTGTATGTTTCAAAAATTGTGATAAAATGTAATTTTTTTTATTGTCAGATTGATCACTCACTCATTTCGACCCTTGTTGAGAGATGGCGTCCTGAGACGCGCACATTCCATATGCCGATGGGTGAGGTTACGATTACCTTGGAGGATGTCCACCATCTGCTGGGATTGCCCATAGATGGAGAGGTTGTATGTGGCCGCGTTGGAGGCCATCCCTTCTCCCAACTTATGAGAGATTTGTTGGACATACAGCCGGTTCGGCAGCGCGACTTTTATAAGAACCGAATTTCTCTGACATTTCTGAGGGTCGGTTTCTACATTACCATGAACATGCCGGCACTGAAGCTGGCCGTATGAGATACACACGTGCTTTGATCTTGCGCATTCTAGGTGGTTGGTTGTTTGTTGAGACTGCATCGAGCTTCGTTCATGCGCGGTATCTACTATTTTTGGATGATTTTCAGCGGACGGGGACGTATTCTTGGCGTGCCCCTTGCATGTCATCAGTGTAACACCCCGTGTTAACCCGGTTTGTTAACATGTCATCGTTTTAAGCCACGCTTAATTAAAATTGCGGAATATCTTTTTCTTTTCAATTATGACGTCATTATACTTAGCCAAGTTGAATACTTAATTCATTTTCAAAACATTGCCTGTATGTAAATTACAAAAGACAGCTAACCGAAATACCTCATTAATTAAAATAACAGATATATGTCTCTAGTCACGGAACTACAACACGTAGACTAGACCAACTAGCAGTTTATACAATTTAAGCTAAAAGTACTAACAATATAGTGGCATGGACAACTCCCATGCTCACCCAAATAAGGCAACAAAGCCCAACAAGTCTCAACATAGCAACAATATAATATAAAGGCGGAAAACATAACCAACATCCAAATCCAGTCATGCCAGCATATAAACAGTAAAATCATCAACTAAGCTCAGGCCTCCTGCCGCCAGAGGCATCAGCCCCCAAATTACCAGAACCTGAAATAAGCGCCCCCAAACGTGGGGTGAGATCTCTAAACAATAAATCTTAGTAAGACAAGGGGTCCTCAAGGACTCTTCCGTCCCAAGCTCACTTACAAGTATAATATAAGTTCAAAACCACTAATTTCAATGCATGTTCATGTTAAGGCATATATATCATGACAGTATAATCTCTTGCTCAAGGAGCTAAATACTATAACTCATTAATCATGTGATGTATGTAAATGCGGTTCGACTGGCCAGGGAACAGGATAAGGATTATGCACGTCTGCGACCCATCTAAACATAAGAGTCGCAGTCTTATACCTTACACACCAGAGTCGATGTCTGATCGTGTAAGTGACAACATCACTTTCATACACTATATGTCTTACACACCAGAGTCGCTACCTGATTGTGCAAGTAGTCAACAATTAACTTAATACATCTCAGGCATATATCAATGCATATTTCATCTTTCATAAAAGCATACCATGCATATAAACCACCCTCCCATGGAGGTCGGTGGAACAAACAATAGACTAATCCGAGGACACGAAAGCTTACCTTTCAAGCTAGCTATCCAAACCAAGAATCCAACCCAGCTCAAAGTCCACACACAGCACAATAACAATCTGTTTTGGACCGATAAATATATCAATATACATACTCAACAAACCTTTGACATAAAGACAACGCCTTTTCTTACGTTTAATGTCTTTAGGCTCTTTACAAAGCCATAAGCCCTTAATCCCTTGATTCTGACTTAGTTTAATTATTACAGAAGTTCAACTTCATCATCTAGGGTCCACAAACTCCCAAACATCAGTTCTCGATGAACAGTAAGCTACTGTTCATCGCAAACCCAGAATATCCGGATATTTGTCGGGGACATATCCGGATATCAATATCCGGATATCTCTCTTCTAATATCCGGATATCCAGATCCCAATATCCGGATATCAATATCCGGATATTGCGCGACAGAATGCAGTTTCTGTATTTCGCGAGATATCACTCCAAATGTTCATCTTTTAACCCCCTAAATCGTTAAAGCATGCATCTTTAAGCCCATTTAGGTTATCTAACATGTTGGTTACTTGTTTATCTTATTAAATATGCCAAGACACCACCTTTAAGCATAAAACTCATGACCAAAGGTTAAAGAACATACCCAAGGCTTCACAACTCAGAAAAGAAGGTTCTTGGAGCTCACAAACAGTCTCTAAGGTTCTAACTTCATAGAAAAATGAAAATGGCATACAAAGGTTGGTTCTTTGCATCCAAAGATGACTCCATCAAGCTAAAAGTGCTAAGACCAAGGCTCTCTCAACAAGGTTCATACACAGCCCTCTAAACCCCTCAAGACAGACACCCAAGCTCAGCAACACACTCCCAATGGTAACTCTCACTCACACCAAGTGTTTAGGATGAAGAAACAACCAAGAAATGGTCTCTTGGTTGAGTTTTGGTCAAGAACAATGGAAGAGAGCAATGGAACAGTGAAAACTGAAAGGAGGCAGCAGCTACACGCGTAGGAATTATGAGGATGCCTAGGGTTTTGGTCCAAAGTGAGTATTTATTGTCACTTAACCATAAAACACACAGTATTAACTTTAATTACTACACTTAGCATATTAATCTCAAACTCAGGATTCTTAACCTACTCAATTTTATAAGAATTATCATATTTTTATCTTTTTTTCGGAGCACCTTTTCGGTACGCGCTTTTCCCATAGCCAGTATCAGTTCTGGCACTAGTTCTCATTATTTTAACTTGAAACTCGTTTTACAAGTCCTATATATTATTCTAGGAATTATCATGCACTTATTATAATTTTCTGGGAAACTTTTTTCGGTACGCATTTATACTGACTAGCAGAACCGGTATCTGCACTTTTCGTCAGAAAAGCGACTTTCAGCATTCTTAATCGTTTACTACATTTATTTAAGCCTCATGATAATTATTAGGGTCAATTATGGAATTATTTCCTAATTTCACATAATTAATTAATTAACTTCCTTAATTAACAGTGCAGGTTCTTACATTCACCCCACCTTTTTAGGTTTTTGCCCTCAAAATCAGAAAACATACATGTCTCGAAGCTCGGGATACGGCCGGAGAAGCTCGTCGCCTCGCTCCCAGAATTACCCTTTGGGGATTTTTCCCGTTCATCGTACTTTGACCATCGAAATGGTCCCGCTCCACAGCTTCTTCTCGCCACGATCGAGAAACTTGAGTGGTACGGTGGAAGATCAATAGGTTCTCCCGAACCTGCACAACATCCGGTTGAACCACGTGCGAAGGATCCGCTACAAACTTGCGAAGTTGAGACACGTTAAACGCGTCGTGAGTGTTAGCCAAGTTCGGATATAATGACCCTAATTTTGTGATCTTAAATTTGAGGGTAATGATGAGGACCTTATGGTCATAAATAGAATGAGAATGAAATTCTAAGAATTTTGATACCCATATTGAGGGTATTATGCACAGATGAATTTTCATCTGTTAATTTTGATTGCTGACATAATAACAGTCAGTAGAATGGCTCCAAATTAGCAAATTATAGTTAGAGAGCTAATCTAATGATATAAACATCATGAATGAGGTTAGGATATGATTTGATGAAGATTGATACCCATATTGGGGTATTTTTCAAAAGTCACTTCTTGAATCTTGAGATGTTAGCTATGTGGTGTCAAAATTTGGTATCAGGTGAAGATGTATTCCATTCTGTATGTTCGTTTGAGTGAGGACTGCACAGGGAGGCCATGTGCAGGGGCGTTGTACATGGCTGCAACTTCCACGAATTGTTTCTCCCTCCTAACCTCATTCACGATGTTTATATCATTATATTAGCTCTCTAACTATAATTTTCTAATTTGGAGCTATTCTACTGACTGTTATTACGTCAGCATTCAAAATTAACAGATGAAAATTCATCTGTGCATAATACCCTCAATATGGGTATCAAAATTCTTTGAATTTGATTCTCATTCTATTTATTACCATAAGGTCCACATCATTACCCTCAAATTTAAGATCACAAAATTAGGGTCATTATATTCACCACACCTTTTAAAAAGATTTTGTCCTCAAAATCGGATGATACCTGATATCAAACTCGGGAAATCGCCGGAGAATATCATCCTCCCTCTCCCATGTGGCGTCCTCAGGTGTCAATCCCTCCCATTGAATCTTGATCATGGTAATAACTGTATTTCGAAGCCGTTTCTCATCTCGAGCAAGAACCTTAGAAGGTCCAACAACGAACTTCAGGTCCTTCTTAACCTCTTTGTCATCATGTTGTACAATGTGTGAGTCATCAGATATATATCTGCAGAGTTGACTCACATGGAAGACGTCATGTAAATTCGCCAAGTTGGGAGGTAGAGCAAGTTGATACGCCACCGGTCCGACCGGGCCCAATGAATCGTGGACTCAACTTCCTCACTCCCAAGGCACGTCCAACACCTGTAGTGGGTGATAATCGAATGAATACATGATCCCCTTCAGAAAACTCAAGGGGTCTGTGCTTGGCATCATAGTAACTCTTTTGACGGCTTTAGGCTTTCTTCAGCCTATCTCTGATCATCTCAATCTGCTCTGTAGTCTCTTAGACCAAGTCTGGCCCCAATAACTGTCTTTCTCCAATCTCCGTCCAACAAGTAGGTTCTCTACACCTACGGCCGTACAAGGCCTCATAAGGAGCCATGCCCAAACTGGCATGATAACTGTTGTTGTAGGAGAACTCAACCAGTGGCAGGTACTTGTCCCAAGCATTACCTTGCTCTATCACACATGCTCTCAGCATGTCCTCTAGTGTCTGAATGGTCCTCTCTGTCTGACCATCTGTCTGCGGGTGGTATGCAGTACTCAATCTCAATTGAGTACCAAAGGCCTCATGCAGTGCTTCCCAGAAGCGTGAAGTAAACTTCCGATCCCGATCACTGACTATGCTTTCGAGAATGCCATGAAGATTCACAATCTCTCTGACATATAGTCTGGCTAACTGCTCTGTGGAGAAAGTCGTCTTGATAGGAATGAAATGAGCGGATTTAGTCAACCTATCAACCACAACCCATATGGAATCAAATCTAGCATGGCTTCTTGGTAATCCAACAACAAAGTCCATGGATATACTCGTCCACTTCCACTCCGGAATATCTAATGGCTGTAACAAACCAGAAGGCTTCTGATGCTCAATTTTTACTTTCTGACAAATAAGGCACTTATTCACAAACTGGGCTATGTCTTTCTTCATCCCAGACCACCAAAAAATTTGTTTCAAATCTTGGTACATCTTAGTTGCACCCGGGTGAATTGTGTACTTACCCATATGGCCCTCGGTTAACACTTCTTCTACCATTGGCCCCTTTGG